TATTTATTTTATTCTTTTTTATTATATTCTTATTTATAATGCCTGTACTCTTGGACATTGATGGGAGATTAAGAGATTGATCATGGTTATTTTCAATTTAATTTTATTTATCCTTTCTCGAGGACGAGAAAGAGCTAAGTGTGGGGGTATTTGATGTAACCATATTATTCGATTGTTTCACCCACATTTGCCTAATGTTTTGTCCATGTTTTATATGTAAAATGCCTTGATATTCTTTGTTTTATGTTTTGAAGGCACTTTTGGATGAAAAATGCAAAAAGGAGTAAATTGGAGATAATTGGCAGATTTGATGTTCAGTCGATGTTTTGTGCAAAGCGTGATTTCTAGAGATCAAAATGAAGTTATTCCAGTGGCTCTAAAAAGCTAACATCCATACCTTTCTGGAAATGTAATGCAAGAAAAATACAAAGAGGAAGATCATGGAAATCACATCCTTCAAAGTCAAATCTCGTATTCTGCCACTGTTGACCTTTGTCCATTCAAAATTCCATATCTGGATCTATAGAAGTCCAATTGATGCAAACTCAATTTTGTTGGATTCCTGACTCAAAGGTCTAGAAACGCTCCAATTTTCAGCCAAAAACGATGTCAGATGAGGGCAATATGATTTTTCAACAATGACAACTGAATTCTGCCAACAATAAGGTTTCGTGAAGAAATGAGTCCAAATTATGTTTCGAAGCTTCTAAACTATCATCCAAGTTATAATTTCAGCAATTTAGCCCCTCTAGTAAATCAATCTAGAAGGTCAAGAAAAGTAGCCACCAACCTCAATCCACCAACCTCAAATCACCAACCACAAACCAGCTGCAAGTTGGAATGCTGCCATTGTCAAAGAAGGAGGCTGCAATGGTGGGTTGTTTGTGGTGACTACTAATGTCAAAGTTTGGCAAGTTTGGCAGCCACCATTGTTGATAAAGAAGCAAGAGGAGCTGCCATTGAAGCCTATATATAGACATCAAGAGAGCCAAGAAAGAAGAGGAGGGAGTGCAATAGAATCAAAGAAAGGTGGTAGCAACTAGAAGTGAAGAAACACAAACTCTCCTCTCTACATACTAGAAATAATGCTTTCTTTTATCTTTAGGAGTAGTTGTTCAATAGATATGCAAGGCTAAGCTCTTTTCTTGGTTGCAAGGACGCAGAAACTTTCAGATTTCAAGAACTGTAAGATTTATTCTTCATTTATTTTCAGTTTGTATTATGAATGAGTATGATTGTTTTCTTATGCATGTTTTCTATAATTGTTGTTGATAATTGCTAGAGCGGACTCTAAGTTATTATTGTGAACAATCTATTGCTAAGTTTGATATCAGAACCGGAGTTAGGGTATATAAACTTGTGAAGCAACTAAGCTTGATAATTGTGGCGGAACTACGTTATTAAACTTAGGGAAAACATTCGATCAAAGCAACACAAGCAGACAACTTGGTTGTTAAGATTAATGAATTTATCTAGATCTTAAGGCTGCCATTAGATTAAATCATTAGTGCGGACACTGTGATTATTTGTTGGTTAGGGCTAGTTATACGGCGGATCCGTTAATTAACCAAAGTTAAGAAAAGATAAAAATTCAGAATATAAACTAGAGTTTCGTTTTAAGGATCAGTTCTGATTTTTTTAGGTGGATGTGTGCTTGTGACCAAGGTTTGTTTTCTTGATAAATTTCAGTTTTAATTGATCGTGTTCACTAGTTTAATTTCTTCCATATTTTAGATTATCACAAATCAAAACCCCCCCAATTGCATAACGTATAGCATAAAAATCTGAACTAAATCTTCCTCGTGGGATCGATCCCTTGCTTGCTCTATACTATCTTGTGTGATTTAAGTGTAAGGGTAATTAATTTATGCGACCGCGACATCGCAACAAGCTGAGATGGTTTCCCAGAATTTCATGATTTAAGTCTATTCAAATTCTAACATTATCAATGATATTTTTGGCAGACAAGAAGATAAGGATTGTCACCAAGTCAAGAGTTGGCTACTCACTCAACAATTACTCATCAAATCAATAATTTCCAATTTTGACCTATAAAAGAAGATATTTTCCATGCATTTAGATATCTTGGTTTTTAGATCAAGATCATGTTCTTGCTCTCTCTTTATTGTAATGCTTAAATTTTACTTATATTAATCTCTTTTTATGCTTCTCATTTCCTTTTCTTTACTTAGTTAACTTTTATCTTATTTATGTTCTTATCTTGTTTATTTATGTTTCTCTCTTTCATTATGTTTAGCTAAGTTTATTAAGTCAAGGTGAAAAGGTTATACTAATGGTGTAAGAATAAGTATAGTGTAAACTCAGTATGGACTTTAATGTTTGATACTAACATGTTTTGTATTTGTTATCTTGTTCATTTTTAATACTTTGCTTGTTAAATTATTAGCCTAGATTTGTGTTGTATAACACTTGGCACAACAAATACTTGGCACTTTCATAGCCAAACTATATGGTATAACCGACACTTGTGCTATGAAAAGAACTTATTTACATAAGTTATAATCATGAATACTTGATAATATTTACAAATATTAGCATTACTAGAATAAAATAACTAATATAATCATGTTAACAATTTATAATCCGATTTAAACCTCCTCCTTTGTGTGTGGTTTCTAACACGACCAAAAGATTGATGTCTTCTCCCAAGTGTAGGAGTGTTGAAGTAATAAATAACCCAGAAAGACCGAGGTCGACCCATAGGGAGGTTAATTGTATAAATTATAAATAACAAGAATATAACAACAACAATAACAATAACAATAGTAACAATAATAGTAGTAATAGTAGTAGTCGTAGTAATAGTAATAGTAGTAGTAGTGGAAGAAGAAGAAGAAGAAGTTGATGAGAACTTTGAGATGGAAGATTAACATAAGGATTAAACAATGATAACAATAAATGTCAAGGTTGGAGGATCTACTAATAGTATGTCAAACAAGTATAGTATAAACTTTTATTACTCAAATGAAAACCACACACAAAGAAGGTTCCAATCAGATTATAAATTGTTAACACGATTACATTAGTTATCTTATTCGAATAATGGTAATACTTGTAAATATTGTCAAACATTCATGCTTATAACTTATGTCAACAACAAATAAAGTTCCTTTTATAGCTCAGGTGTCGGTTATACCATACAGTAAGGGCTATGAAAGTGTCAAGCATTTGTTGTACCAAGTATTGGATAACATAAATCTAGATTAGTCATTTAACAAGCAAAGTATTAAAGAGTGAATAAGATAACAAATATAAAATATGTTAGTATCAAACATTAAAATCCATATTAAGTTTACACTATACTTATTCTTACACCATTAGTATAACCTTTTCACCTTGACATAATAAATTTAACTAAACATAATGAAAAAAAATAGATAAACAAAATAAGAACATAAATAAGATAAAAGTTAACTAAGTAAAGGAAAGGAAATGAAAGGCATAAACAAAATATTAATGAAAATAAAACTTAACCACTACAAAAATACAAAGAGAGAAAGCAAAAGCATGATCTTGATCTAGAGACCAAGATGCCCAAATATATGGCAAATGCCTCCTTTTATAAGCCAAAATTGAGAACTATTGATTTGATGACTAATTAATGAGTTGGTGGCCAACTCTTGACTTGGTGACAATCCTTATCTTCTCTTGTCTGCCCAAAACATCATTGATAATGTTAGAATGGGAACCACTTGAAAACATGAAAGTTGTAGGAAATTGTCTCAACTTTCTAGGAAAACAAATGGAGGTCATTTGGACTTCTAGAACTCTAGATATGGGTCAAACACTAAACAGTGTTCGGGTTGCAAGACAAATTCGGACTTCTTCGTTATTGTAACAATTTTGACTTAAAAATGGCCTTTTTAAATCTTAAGCTCCCATGAAAGTTGTAGGCCTATGTCTTACCTTTCCATCTATAAAAAATGGATCTAAATCCGAGATCTACAGCTCCAAATATGATCCTATTATTGAACAGTATTATGGTTTAGACTACAACGACATCTCTTTTCTAAGTTTGATCATCTCTTTATCCTTTCAATTTAAGTCATTAAACTCATCAATCAATCCTTTCATTTATGTGATAGACCTGCATTTAAAATGAACATTTACCATAAATTAAAAGGTATCTTATATTATTAGATATGTTAGTATAAAACATGCTTTAGTTAAGGAGTTATTGATATTTCAAGTGCAAAATGATGATATAAAACCTTGATAAAAATGCACTTTTAAGTACTAATCAGTTTCCAATTGAGTAATAAAAAAAATTTATACTATACTTGTTTGAAATACCATTAGTAGATCCTCTAACCTTGACATTTATTTTTATCATTATTTAATTCTTATATCAATATCACATCTCAAAACTCTTTTTATTGTTGTTGTTTATAATTTATATAATTAACCTCTCCGTGATTCGATCCCGGTCTTGTCAGGTTATTTATTACTTCGACATTTCTACACTTGAGAGAAAATATCAATCTTTTAATCATGTCATGCATATAAATTAAGATAGTTGGGTTGAAATCTTGAAAAGCTTATTGTAATCATTGTTTTGCACCAAGACATGAGCAATAAAATTTTAAAAACAAAAAATTTATTCTTGACAATAATAAAATTTTAAAAATAAAAAATTCATTCTCGACAACAATCAAACTTCATCAATTTTAAAATGTTTCATTATTTTTCAATCTCTTATGCTTTTTTTTAATATACATTTAGCATTCCTTGCTACAACTTTTTAGTGTGTATATATATTTTAATCTAATGAAGGACATGATCAAAAGAATAATTATCCATCACCCAGTAAAGGACGGCATCAGTTCTGTGATTGCCTCATGTAATTACAGGGGTCAATTCTGTTGATTAACATGACTCCCCAGTTGATCAACATTATCTCTTTAGAGCCTCTTTATGGACATAGATATGATACTGGCATGGTATTGTTAAAAAAAAAAAAAACTGTCCTCAGGGCTTGTATGTAGTTTCTTCAACTTTATAACGCAGCATATCAAATTGAGTTCTGACATTACATGGGCTCTGAACCAAACATTATTGGTTCTTAATTATTTACATAGATGTTTCAGTTGCATTTATATATCGTACACTATACCAAAAATGTTGCCATGTGTACAGACCATCTCCATCCGGTGGTGAATGCTAACCAATTCCGAGATGCTTAACTCAAGCCCTTCCCCATCCACTGTACTCAACATTGAGCATTAACAAAAGCCGATAGGAGTGATGGAGCCATACATGACAACCTTGCACGATTGATATTTACAGATCTCTCCTGGAGAACTTCAGCTGCTCAACCCGTGGTGGTGTAGCAAAAATCTGCTTCGAGAATGTGATTAATTCAAAAACATGGAATGCATGTGAACCCCAAACCAGTATCATACCCAAAAATAATGCTGAGGGTCTTTCTCACTAGCAGTATTCTGAAATCCTTTTCTGCATCTGGCATGTGTGAATTTTAAGATCTTACTGCTATATATATATATATATATATAAAAGACTAATTCTCCCTAATTAAAGTCAATTGACAAAAATAAGAATCCAGTTGACATAAGGAGGCTTACTTGTCAGTTCATAGTGTCCCCTTCCAACTTCTAGCCTTTTCAATCACCAATAATAAATAAAACCCTCTCCTTAAGTTTATTAATAATCTGCATGAAGTGAAATAGGCAAGGCAATATATAAATATCAGGCATTGTACACCAAAGCTGAACTATCATAATCAAAGTCTAGATTGTTCACCGAGGTAGAGGTCTTGGCCCAGCTTCGAGTAGAGGCAGCAGCATTTTTAAGGTGCAAAAAATTGGAGGAATCAAAACTCAAAGAATAGATCGAATTTTCTGTTGCTTCAGCTATCGAGAGATGATATGTTTCGTCCTTTGCTCTCTTGATGAGATTACACAAGCCAATCTGCAGAAGTAATAAATGAGGTTCTCAGTTTCAAACGGTTTTCTTTCGTAAACTTATCTATCCTTCTAATTTCCACTTGGATGTTGTCTCCATGAATCAACTCATACTATATTCATAAACTAATGCATTCTGTGGTAAACCATAGAAGGACTAAATGTACTCACTGTGGATCCAGCAAGATTGTAGTTGATTGGTGTAAATGAATCGTTATCCATGTATGGTGAGCAGAAGCTGATGGCCAATAAGGACTTTGACGTATCCTCTAAATCAAATCTAGAAATGGAGCTATCAGTCACAAACACCCACTGTTTCTTTTGCTGAGCAGCTGTATAAATATCTCCCACGTGCAACACAAGTGCAGCAATGTCAAATTCACTGCACAGTCAAAAAACAATCAGAACAAAGTTTCTGTGAGGAAGAAATAAAGCAGAGGCAGGACTAGAAAAAAATCGAGGTGCGCAATTTACCGACAAAGAGGAACTTCACCCAAATTTGACAACAATACTGGTACTCGAGGGCTGAAAAATGGCCTACAGAGGACAATCTTTTAGTTAGATTCAATTGTTAGGATAACAGACAGCAAATAGAGGCTTACTGAAACTGTTGCATTGCCAGGGAAGATAAAGGTTGCCATTTGGTTGTAGATCCTCCTGCTTGCAAGTAAAGTGTATTTGAATCAGAACTCACGGGTAATAGTCCTGCTACAGCATAAGCCTGCCCCTCGACAAGATCACTTTTCTGTTATAATTAGTAAGTTTAATCAATACTTGCAAAGAATCTCAAGAAAACAGTTTGCAATAAATTCAATATTAGGGAGGCATGCAATACAGAATATTGCCAAAACAAAGGATGCAGCATACATAATCTTTAGTTATGTAAGCATAAAAAGGTGGATCCATTCAAATGCAAACAGCACAGTATACAGAGACTAGAGGCATGAGAAATGGAAGCAGAACTGAGCAATTAGATTAACCTGCTTCTCAGTCGGCTTCCAAATTGTTATTAAGCCTTCTTTAGGGGCGCCGGCGCCCTTTTCTTGATAATTAGTTAACCCAACTACCCTGACCCTAATAAATGGGGTCACTTCTCTCTCCCCTAAGCCAGCATCCTGTAAAGCTTTCCCAATTGCTTTCTCCATGTCCAGTTGCCTTGACGCCTAAAGTCAGACTTCCTGTGATTAATATCTCTTTCTACAAATAGACCAATGTTTCAAGTACATCAGCTGAACCTACCTCTAGTTTTGATTGATAAGACGCAAATGATGCTAGTTGCTGTGGACTCATCTCTGCCATTAGTACTTCTGGCTCAGCTGATGTCTCAAGAATTTTAAAAATTTTAGCTCCTTCTTCACTATCAATATCAGTATATATGTTAGAACTTTTCATCCCTCTTTGAAACTGAGAAACAATACCCTCTATAATAACTGAACGCCTGCAGCATAAAAAAAAGCATCAATTATGATATTGTATTTAGCTAGAATTCTAAACAAAATCTGGCCACTTTATTAGATTGGAAAATCCTTACAAATATGAAGTGATCATGCTGATATGGAGTGGCAATGTTTTCTCTTTAGGAAAGGGAAAAAAACTAAGTTAAAATATACTAGGCAGATCTATCAGAAAAACAAAATGGCTATGTCAGTGGAATGGAAGTCACCTCTGGTTATTCAATTGCACCACTTTAGCCTCCATTCTCTCTGATCTCACAATAGTTCTGCTGCCATTACTTCATCAAGAGTGAGAAATGGAGAAAATTTAACATACTGAAAGGACCAAATGCACTTCAATCAAGCAGCAAAAATGATTAATTCACATTACTTATCCTTGTATAGAACAGGGTAAACCCGTGTGACTCCAACTAACACCCAAGGGACAGGACCACCATTACTCTTGATGCACCTAAAAGCCAAAGGAGCACCAATTCCCTTACCTATGGAAAAATATTCAAATAGTTATGCATAAGAAGGCAAAGAGAAACATTTACAAATATGCCACATCAATGTAAATCTCAAGCAAAAAACTTTGCATAATCCAAAAGATGCTTACAGAATCCCATTCGATCAGCCCAGTGAGCTCTATAAGTCCCATTTATATGCAATGACAAACTAACAGTCTTCGATGCCTAAAATTTAAACCAAAATGTGAGAAAGTTTGGTATTAAAAGGATGTAAAAGATTCAACAATTCAACTCCATTAAGAAATCTAAAGCCTGCAAGAACCTTGAAGGATGACACAGGACCAGCCCAGCCACATAATCCTGCTCCCCATATCTTTCCAAGAGGAAAAATAAATAGGAAGTGAGCAAAGCCAATCTAAAAGGGCTCCAATCATAGAAAGGAATGTGAAAAACATGGAAACAAATATCGTACTCGAAGTTTCTGTCCCACAAACAGTTTCCCAGCATCCAGATGCATTGAAAGTGATATATCCAGAAGCGCATCCACTGAATACCTGTGAAACAAAGATATTTTTACCCTTCAAAGGACCTCAAATGTTGAGTGCATGATAATAAATTTGGCAGTTCCCTACCACCCATCAGTCAGTTCCAGTTTTGCAGCATTACTATGTTCAGCCCCGTCCGATGCCACTGAAGGAACCTCTACCTTTGGTTCACAACCGAAGTAGATGGAAGAAATGCACAGAACCATCATTGAAGAAGGTGGTGCGTCCCCTTCCAGAATTCTCTTAATTGCAGATCGATGGCCATGATTTACTTCTCTTTCATATCTATGGAAATGAATGACATGTACTTGTCACGAATCTCTTCTAAATTCAAGAGAAACATATAGCTTGAAATAATTAAAATACCTGTACTTCAATTCCTCAAGCACATTGGAGACTGACAAAAATTTTGCAGCAGATTTTTCTGGGCAGCATCTCTCATAACATGCAAGTTTCCAAACTATCCACTTGTAATGATTTATAACCCACCTTGATGGATAAATAAGAAGCTGAATCAGTTAATAAAATGCAAAGCGACAGGTCAAAAAAAAATATTTTTTATATGTAAGAGCACTGATTAAAAAGTTCATGGAATGACCATAAACTGTAAAAAAAATTGAAGTTGACAGCAACAAGAAATCAATCTTAACAAAACTTGACAACCTTTTGAAAATTCACATCATTATGTCTATCACAATGGCAATTGGTGCTACTAACTTTTTATATTTTTACTCTTGCAGCATCCATGTCCAAAGTTTGAAAAAACAAAATCTTTTACAAACTTCAAATGGATTATCAAACTGACTATTGTAACTCCGGGTAAAAAAAAAAACTATCCCAATGAAATATGAAAAGAGACAGTGGAAAATTACTCTTTAGAAGCATATTGTGACAAAGCTCCAGACTGAAGTAACATGTCATAGAATGCTTCAGCTCCTATGCTATCTCGGCCAGATTCATCACAAAACATGTACTTATCTGCATTATTTGACTTGATCTGTCTTAATTGATCTGTAAAGTACTCCGACTACAAAGAACAATCTTTAGTGATAATAACCAACACAACCTCGACAAAACATAAATAACTATGTTGAAAATGTATATACCAGGTGCTTATCTGATAAATGGCCTCCAAAGTATTCCTTGATATATATTCTAGGAACCTGGAAAGGATATCTAGTGGAAACTTTTCTTCTACAGCTGGAACTTTCATATGATACAGTAGATAAACCTGTTTGAACACATACCTTGAATGGGAAATATAAATTTTGATAGCAGATTCAAAAGGAAGTTAATTAAAAGCCTCATGAATTACCACTGGGAACAGATGAGACATTCCCGTTCAAAGGGGTGGTGAATTTGGAACTGCGGGGCTTTTTAAATGGAGAAATAGAAATCCCTCTTCCAAGTTTCCTCTTCTCTCCATTAGCTTGTCCATTATTTGAGTAAGCTGTGCCAATTGTATTTGAAATATCAGGCAACGGGGCACACAATGGCTTTTGAAGTGGATTCATCTTGGAGCTAGTCCTTTGAAGTGAATTCATCCTTGAGCCAGTAACTTTATCCAGAGAATTAGCAACCATTGTAGCAGATGTACAGAGCCCATTCCTTACAAGCTTCTGTACATGAGTTGCGTTGTTTCTAACTTTGCAGATGCTGTCATTGTGAACAGCATCAAATTTCTTTATCAAGTTACTCCCCGAAATAACATTTTTTGGATTAATAGATGACTGGACATGGTTTGCAGATGATTTAAGAGTTGAAATGAAAGTTTTTGAGATATGTTTACTTGAGGCTCTAGGATGGGTAAAAGCAGAGTAAAAACCATTTTCCTTGTTTGATGAAGCATCACCAAATCCGCTATCTTCAAAAACTGAGAGGCCCTGATCAACTGCATCTCCCTCATTTAAGAAAGTTCCTAGGTCTGGGTCACCAAGAAGACTCCTTGCACGTTTCAATGCCTCACTGGAAACAGATAGGGATCTTCCACCGGCAGTATGGAATTTAATTGGAGGTGGTTTTTGTATTTCAGGTTCCAACAAGTTTGTATTGACCTCCTTCGTCAATTCACTTTCTAAAATAACAGTCTTAGAAACTAAAGAAGACATTGGAGCTGGCAAATCATCACCAATAACCCCATTATTTTTCATACTGACTTTCGTCCCTGAATGCGTTACATCCCGCCACCCAAATTGCTCATTGACAGTGGAAGATTTCCTTGGACATTTAAATCCTTGAAAATTAGAACTATAATTTTCTTCCTCCACTCCCAACAACCTCTTCGCTCTAACCAAACCAGCAGAAGATATATCAACTGATTTCCCAGATCCAGTATGGAAAAGAGAATTAGAGAAACAAGGTTCGTTATTTCTACCATGCACTTCACCTGCCAAAATAAAACAAAGATAAAACAAAAGGCCTTCCATATGAGTAACATTTACAAGTCCATACAACAACATGGATAATCCGAGACCAAAAATCGTCAAATTTTAGGTCTACAGTGAGGTATTCAGGGCTCACAATTGCATATTTAATAAAAAAAAAAAAACACCTCAAAGGAAAAAATGAGAGGGAAAAACAGTTACCTGGATAGCCAGAATATCCATCATCATCACCAAAAACAGACAACGCCTTTGCAATCGAAGATTGTTTCAGTACAACCGATTTCCCTGATCCTGTATGGAAAATTGGTGCATTTCCATTATCTTCATTCCCTTTTTTGCGAAGCTTCGAAAAACTAAATTCATTCTCTCCCCCACAAGCTTCACATGCCAAACAAACAAAACTAAAGAAATCTATTTCCACGACAGCACAATATACAACCAACTTAACATTAATAAATTTGAAATAAAAGACATCCTGCCAGAAATCTGAAATTACAATTACCAATCAAGCAACATAATTAACACGAAACTAAAAAATTCCGCCAATTTTAGTTACTTATCATGAGTCTTGAGATTTATAACAAAATTTAAAAGGCTAAAAATTAATCAAGCGTTGACATATTTAATAAACTAAAAGAATACGTAAATGAGAAAAAATCATTGAGAAATTTAAATTCCCAAATTTTAGATATGCAAAGGATTTATAAATAATTATGGAGAAAGAGGCACCTGCATCATCATCGTCTCTGAGGACAGATAACGCTTTCGCAATCGAAGACTGCTTTAACGCAACCGATTTCCCTGATCCTGTGCGGAAAATCGGTGCATTTCCGTTCTCTAGAAGTTTCGGACATCCTTCACACACACAGAAACACGGTCCACACATAAATACATGTAATAATATAACTGATACAGGTATATATAACCATATCGAAATACCTTGGAGTAAGAGATCGGCCATGGAAGGGAGGTGAGTTTTGGAGCTGGAAGGTGGGATTAGGGCTCCGCTTTGTTTAGGTTCGGGTTTCGTGTGTATGATTTGGCCGGTGACTTCCCATCGGAAATTGTTTCCGGAGTCGGAGAATATTTTCCACGACGACATTTTCAGTGTGAGATTAGGGATTGTGTTTTTCTGTTGAGAGAGCTGATGGTGAGATTTTAGTGCGCGCGGGCGGGTGTAGTGATTTAAGAAGGCGGGAAAAACTGAAAGTGAATTTGGATTTGATGATACACTTGGGCTTGGGTCTTTTAGATTAAGGAGTACTTGGGCTTAGGTTATTGACCTGAGTTGAAATCGGAAGAAATTCTATAATATTTAAATTATTTATGTTTATAGTATAGATTTTTAAAAAACTAGGTGCGAGAAAATTAAAAAATAATAATTTTTAATAAAATTGAAGATAATAGAACTGTTTTTTTTTTTCCTATCACCCATCCATGCTATAAATATTAATAGCTACAACTTAAACATTATAACTTTTTTTTTTTGGAAATGTTTTCAAAAAGCATATAATATCATATTGTTTTAATATTCACCACATTAGCTACATATTCAAATTCTTTTTTTTTAAATTTTCTCCCATAAGAATGTTGAGTTTGTTTTAAAAATTATAAAATATGTTTTAAACTTTTAAAGATATAAAAATAAATACAAAGGGAATACAAAAAAAAAAATGATAGTGTTTTAAAATCCAAGATACGAGAAAGGTGGAAGATATTAAGAAAGGTGGTAGCTTCACGTAGGAAGCCTAATACCTACAAAACAATCTTAATTTGATGAATTTAGGGACTCACAATGTTTAAATCAGTAGCTCTTTAGAGAGAGTGTATAATAAATATGTAAAAAACATAAAATCTCAAGAAGAAGATTGTTTATTCCTTTTTAGTATATAATAAATGTTATGTAAGAGAAAATAGTGTTATATGTATATGTTAAGAATAAAGAAATTGTAAACTTTTTACCGGGGAGTTCAGGGGGTATTCATACCACCTAAATTTTATCATTTTGCTTGAATGAGGAGGGTGGAAAGTCATTCCATCCTTGTAACATTACAAGAGATAAATATCATTTATACATGCATTATAAGGAATAAATATCTCTTATATAAATATTAACAAAGGACAAATATCCTTACACACACATTAATGAGAAAGAAATATTATTTACACATATATTAGTGAGATGAAAATGTGGTAGGCTAGAAGAGACTTTTGTACATATAAGGGTGTAAGTGGAGTACATTGATCGTGCATCAAAAGTATCATTAAATCTCTTATTGTACATATGCATTTATTGTTTTTATTTGGGTTTTTTATAATAATTTATGTACTTTTTAGTAATCAAGTTTTTTTTTAATATTTCAATAGTTTTTGGAGCTTAAATGGAACAAAGAATTGAAAAGAAATTTAGTTGAAGTTTAAAACAAATCTTGGTTCAAATAAGTGCTCTAAATTTGCCCCAAAAATTAATTTTATTTCAATCCTAGAAAAGATTATCATATGATTTATTTCAAGCCCAAACTTGCCTTATATTGTGTGCAAATTTCAACCATCAAACACTCAAGGTTTCAATGTCAATCTTAGCCTAAATAATAGGTACATTTATATCCTTATATAATGCTTAAATTCAGCCTCAATCAGCCCAAGTACAATCCATGATCTTATATGTCCGCACAATAAATAACAATTGATTTATTTTGGATAATCCATTGATCCAAGAGGGCAAGCACATGGATGGAAAGCTGGAGGGGAAATTTTTACATTATTTTGGGTAAAAAAAAAGAGATAGCTCATAAAGGAGGAAGAAAAACGTGTTGATTAAGGGTAAAATGAGTTAAAGAAGGGTAAAATGATAATAGAACAAAAGGAATCCTCCTTTCATTCTCCATATAAGTTGTTAGTTCAGTAAAGAGGAAAAGAAGAAACATTTCTTCTTCTTGTTTTGTCAGTTTTACACTAAACACTTAGAGAAAAACCAAGATTAAGGGTTTATTTAAGGAGGGAAAAGTGTTTAATTGTTCAAACACAAGAATTAAAGAACAAGTGAAGGAACTTGGGACACTAGAGAGAAAAAAAAGGGAAGTGTGGAAATGTTTTGATTAATTATGATTCAAAGTTTATTTTATCACAAGGTAAGGAGTTTTAAGCAAGATTATATGATCTTAAATAAATATAAGTAAAATTTATGCTTAATTTTATAAATTAATGTTAGGGTTTTAGGAGTCAATTTGGAGAAAATGTGAATTGCTTTGAAATTGAGTTGTGTGAACCATGATAGAGTGTGATGGAGGTGAAATAATGAGAAAAAGGAATGAAAAGGGAACTACATCTTCGCTTGGAATCAATTTCGGCCACACTAAGGAAAAAGAGGGAGGAGTAGTTTGTTTAACTACTTTTGTGTTATGTTGAATGAGAAATGAATGAATAAAGTGTCTTTAATACAAAAAAAAAATATTGAAGAAGAAGTCATGTTATCCTAAGAGAGGGCTTCGACCAACTAGCATTATGTATGGATAAATTTTTTAGTTTGGATTGCTATGAAATTTGTGTTTAAACATCTTATGTTAGGAATAAATGATTGGTCATTAGATTAAATTCATGCAAAAGTTAAAGAAGAAATTATAACCTTGCTTAAGGTTAAGTTGATAAAAAGGCTGAGAAATAGAAAGATGGATCTTGTCGACTTGATTATCAATATATTAAGATTAAAGAGACTAAATGGATGGTGTCAAAAAAGTTAGAAGTAAATTTTGGAATGTAAACACCAAAAAAAAGGAAACAGAAGTAAAGCCAAAATGACTCCATTATCGCTGTCGATTCAGAAATTGACACAGTTCTTGGTTGCTAATTTCCAAATCGATAACAATACAATTTTAGGCTGCCGATTTCTAAATTAGTAGTAATATAGTTTTTGCTATTGATTTTTGAATCCGCAACAACATAGTTTTTGGCTGCCGATTTTTGAATTGGTAGCGGCATAGTTGGCTTCCAATTTTTGAATTGGTAATGATGTAGTTTTTATTGTTAATTTCTGAATTGGCAGCGACAATGTAAAACCTAACAAAAATTAGAGTTAGACAAGCCTATTCTAAAGGAGAATGGGAATAGAAACCAGCCTAAGATAATTAAAGGGGGGATAAGGACAACCTTGGTCCAGTACCCAAACACCCTAGCACACTTTAGGGGCTATAAATATAAGGAGAGAGAAAGGGTGGCTCTTCACTCTTCCTAAAACAAGCTGCTTGCTCTTGCCCCCTTCCTTATTCCCAAAATAAACTACATCCTTTTGTTCTTTCCTCCTTCCCAAAAAGAACTCAACAACTCCGCTGCATGTGCCTCAAGCGTGAGAGAGAAGGGAGAGCTTGAGATGAGGGTGGATAGCTACAAACATGAAGGGAGTAGAGGTCTAAAATCGGTTGGAAATTGACAAGATGAAGAGAAACTGAAGGAGAGGAAGAGGAAGAAGAAATCGGGAGCATTAAGGGAGAGATACTGTCAAACCCATCCAAATATACTAAATCCGTGAGGTATGAACCATGTCCTTCTCCACCTGTTCTTAAAGCCTTAAAACCGAAAGGAAGAAGAAAACTAGGGATGCATGGCCTAGGAATTTTACTCCAACTATTAAGGAAAGTGATAAGCTAAAAGGAGGGATAAAAACAGGGCTGAATGAGGGACAAAAAAGGGGCTGAATGAGGGACCTAATTCTAAAATATTTAACGAAACAAGTGTTGCAAATTTGAATGCACAAACTTGGAAAGTTGGCCGGCCTTGGTGAGGGCTGGATAGAATATGTATTAAAGGAATAAAATGCAAAGACAACCTTGTTAGAGATGTTAGATCATGTGAAATAGAAAGAAAAATAGAATTACACTTGTGTTAATGATGTGATTTCAACTTATTTTGGTTGATGTAGTTATATGAAAATATGTTGAAATGATGTAAATGCAAGCTTGTGCTATTAATAAATCTTGAAAAAACAAGCTGCAATTGAAACAAGAAGTACATTCATGTAATGTTTAGGTTCTATTGATATGATGAATGGACATTTGTGGTTATTAATCAAGGGAATATATATGTATTTGTAAATTGTAATTATGAGTGTGCTTGTGAAAACAAATATGGTGGATTTACATGAACATAGGTCAAATGAATGAACACATTATTGGGGCAAATTATGGTGATTATACATACAGAAATGAAATAGATTGAGTGTATGTGCAGAATTGTATTGATGTTAAGCCTTAGGAACATGTCAAAGCTAAAAAGGAAATTGTTTGATGATAATGCATTGATTTTGTTATATGATGAATGAATTTGTATGACTTGAGCTAGTAGTTAGAAGAACCTAAATCAAATGTGTATATTGAGATTCGATGGTGCATTATTCATGCTTTTTTTATAGGAATTAGGGCATGACTATTTTTAGTATGCATCCAAATTTCGACTAGGAAGTGTTACAAAGGAGAAAAGCGTAGCGTAAATTTTACGCTTGGCCAAAGGGAAAAAGTGAAATCATAAACGATTCTGTCGCCTCTACTCATTTGTGAATCGATAGCGACAGGAGTTGTATTAATGATTTCTGAGTCGGCAGTGACTCAATTTTTATCAACAATTTTTGTGTCAGTAGTGAGTTAGTCTTGCTACTAAATTGTGTTGCCTACAACGAGATTGTGTTCCCTACATCGAGTCAGTTATCGTTGCTGAATTGTGTTGTTTGCAACAACTCATTTTTTGCTACCGAATTGTATTATTTGCAGCAAATCAGTTCTTGCCATTGAACTACAACGAGCTAGTTTTGGCTGTCAAATTATATTGCCTACAGCGAGTCAGTTTTTGCTATTGAATTGTGGTGCAACAACGAATTAGTTTTTGTTGCTGAATTGTGTTGTCCACAACGAGTTAGTTTTTGCTGTTGAATTCTAGTGTCCATGGCAAGTTAGTGTTCACTGCTAAATTGTGTCGTCCGGGGTGAATCTGCTTTCACTGTCGAATTGTGTTATCCACAACGAATTTGGCTTCACTATTGATTGTGCATCAAAAGTATCATTAAGTCTCTTATTTTATATATGTGTTTATTATTTTTATTTGGGTTTTTATAATAATTGATGTGTTTTTTAGCAATGAAGTTTCTTTTAATGTTTTGCTAGGTTTTTAAGCTTAAATGGATTATGTTAGAAAATTTAATGTCGAAATTC